ATATATGCCTCGGGTTGGTTCTCGGCAGGCTTCCCTAAATAAACTTATTTGGTGCACACTACTGTGTTATTTGTTGTGTAGTGGAGACAAAATAATGACTTGAGTGCGTAAAGGTAAAGCGACTACAAAAGCTTTTAACTTCTTCATCACAATTTTACAGAAATTGGAAAATATTAATTGCTATATAGCGAAATGCAGACGATGTTTCTCACCAAGTTGCTCAAATATCAAGCATTGCTTGTAAAATATTTTGCATTTGCGCAACATAAATTAATATGATAAAGCCTGCAGATAATATCGCTCTTCGTTTACTCATCCATTCACAGTTACTGTGTTCAGGGGATGTTTCTTCGCCTGCTTTAGTCGGCAAAGTCCACTGAGAAATTTGTGCTGATCAAACGTGTTTTTCTTCTATGCATAGTCACTTATTTTAGGTTTGTTAGATATCGTTGCATTGGCCTAACGTCAATAAAGATTTATTTTATTTCACTTGAGTTTAATTACGCGCGGTTCACGAACATTGTTTTTTCTGAAGGCCTGCTTAGTGCTTAGATAAAAGACGAACCAACCATTTTTATTTAGTTTGGCTAATCGGTTTTCCCGACAAAAATGTTTCTAAATGTATTGATGTAAGTAAAGAAAGTAGGCTTCATCAGGGTCAGAATCGTGTAGGAATATGCCCTTGTACTTTCTCTTGCACTTGTTGACGAGTGGCTTCCAGCGATGTTGACCGTCACATTCCAGTGGCTAAAATTATTTACATTGGGAGCTGTTTTCAGCTATCTAGTGCTCTTCATTTCACCTATTGTTAGAAAATTCTGGTACAGTAGTCAGTACTTCTTTTGCAGGTATCATTATCACTGCCTCGCGTTAGTTCTTCAAAAATTCTTCGTTCACTTCGACATAACGGAGAGCCACTTTTGCAAATATCACCGAATCTCAAAGACAACCCTTCGTTGCTACGCAACTGTTAACGAATCGGGACCAAGTAAACATGTCGCCTTTATCATCAAAAGTACCCTCGTGTTCAAGAAAAAAATGATGCCCCTTTTCCTTGCTGATGAACACGAAGTAAATTTTTCCGGTATGTGATAATCTATGTGATCAAACGCGTCTGTCCTGTGAAATTTCTTCCTGTCCTCAGAAGAGCTCAACGTTGTTCTAGCAGTAGTCTCACTTGCAACAGTCACCTGTAGCGTGCTTCAACTGAACTGCACTAATTCACACAATCGGAGAAATAACTTTGTCGCAATAAAAGCAATAGACGTAATGGCACGCATATGACTGGAGGCGGATCGTCGTCTTAATCTTGTTTTAATCTGCTGACATTGCTTACAAGTTCTCTATCGTCCTCCTGAGATATGATTTTTGTGCTTACTGGCACAAGGCAGGACACATTATGTCATCATGTTGTAAGATCCTTGTTGTCAAGTCAACAAAGATTATGTCACAATTCTTCTAGAGGTTTTTGTAGTTGATTGTAATCAAAAGGAGTTTATAAATTTGAAAAAATGCTTCTTTTGGTCAACACTGATCAAATAACATTTCATAAAAGTTTAATATTTTGAGGTATGGAAAATGATATGATTCAAAACAAATAGCTTGTGGATTTGTTCAATGACGAGATTAAAGGGCCTTGTTAATATTGGGCTTGGTCAAGATCCTTCCCAATTCTTGTCGGTGTTCATGTTCCAGTTATGGAGTATCATTCAACTGAAAGCATAGAGCTAGTTGATATATCGAGTGATATGAGAAAATTTGTTGCATTTGGATTAAGATTCCATTTATAAAAGTACAATATTTTGTTGAGTTATGAAGTATGATGTCTTATCATCAAGTCTTGTAGACAATTCAGCAAATTGTTACAATTATTGTAAATGTTCATTATCATGGAACGGAATCATAGCGGAAATCTTAACTTTGAAAGAAATTTTCTAGTAAGGTAAAGATTGAATAACATTCTAATAAACGTTTTATGTGTTGAAGTATAGATTATCATTATTTCTGGATTAAATTCGCACAATAATGTTATTTGACTACAACTACCGGAATACATTTGATTTTCCTTCCCCTACTCAAAGTTTTGAACCACAGTTGGATTCAAATAAGATTTATAAAGAAACTCGTCCAAAAATTTCTTAACTGGCCTGCAAATTTCCCCTCCCTGCCTACGCTTGATGAGGAGCTGTAAATCCTCGAGCACGGGGTGGCCGAGACAACGTGTTGGTTGAATTCATAATCGAGTTGGTACTTTCAATGGAACTAATGGGTCTTTGCTGCCTACAAACCCAAAGGCAGTGTCTGATGATTAGTTAAATGAGACGCCGGAGTTTGACCATTTGGATCTCTTCTACATTCAATTTTTTTTCTTAGCGCTTCTCGAAACTACAAGTTAAAACTAATCTCCATAGTACCAATAACACATCCATCCTATACGCTGTTTCACCCCGAACGTTACCACACCATCAAACCCTGCGCCATCTTGTTTTGATAGATTCTAAATACAATGACACCATTTAATTGACAATATCGTGGACAAGTTTACCGATAACAATTCCGCAGTCACATGCACAATGTAACTAGGTTTGCTATGCAATACCAGTAAGCACATGACCTCACGGAGGGCTATTTTTCTATAAACTCTTTTGTCTTTTTCGGAACAAATTCTTTTTGAAAGTTCATCATGACAGTATTTTTTTAAAATATTTTTAAAGATAGTTTCTGATCTCAGAATCGTCGAGGATCGAGAGTGTACAGACATTTTAGCGGACATTTTTGTGACAAATCACCTTACGAGTATGGTGAATGAGGAAATTACATATAACACGAATTTCCAATTTACAAAGGAACGCACGTAGGAAAATTTATTGAATAGGGATACCAATAAGATTGACATACGATTTGAAACTTTGTTTCAAAGTAATTGCCCTTTACAAAGCTTTTGATTCTCGATTTTTCTATAGATACAAAGTTTATGTCGTTGCTTACATCCAAATATTATAACACAAAAATCAATAATTTGTTTAGTATTAACGTCCTTTATCATCTCTTTTAAAAGACTTCAACTAAATAGTCTTGTGGCAAAACAACATTGTGGACCAACTTTCCAACTTACGATCTACTTCTCATGCATTCTGTCACGTTTCGCAGTGGAATAAAAATTCCATTTTTTTCTTCAAGCGGAAAAACTCTTGACCTAAAACCTGAAACTATTAGACTTGATATTGAACGTTGAAAATGAAAACGTGATCGTGGTCATACTGCCATCTTGTAAAAAATGTAACGCTTCTGTAACTTGAATTATAATTTTAATTACCAGATTGTCTGGCAACAGTCTTACACCCTCGTCTTTCCACTTCAATATAGAGTTGAATAAAGCTTTCACGTTTTTTAGCAATGAGTAAACCTCGGAACGGTGTTGATAGACGTCATGTGATCCCTGTATGACGCAATCACAGCCTCTTGCAAAATGTTTGAAGAGAGAACGTGACGTCACGCATACCTGATCGCACGAGATGTAGGTAAGATATACTGGAAGCAATCGGTGTCTCTTACGAAGCGAGTTTTATTTTACTCTAATGCAAGCTCCAGCTGTCCTGGAAAATACTGTCATGGATATGGAAGCGTCAACGGAAAAAAACCGACCCGACCACAACACTGAGAGCAGGCTATGTTTCGTAACTGTCCTTGAACGCTTCGTGAAATCAGCAACAGTTTTGGAAGAAACAGTTTTGTTTCCAAGCGTCTTGATGGATTTATCTGTGAACGCATTTGAAGCAAAAATAAATCCGAATGAAATATATTTATATAAAGAAATGGACTTGAGGACGTTTTGCCGTATGGTGAAATCGTTGAGAATTCAACTTTTGCAAGGTTGTAGCTTCATTGAAGAAGGATTGGAGGAAAATAAGCAAATAAGAAACAAAGTGGAAGAACTGTGCTTGCAATTGAAATCCTTAACTCAACATGCTAAGTATCTCAGGTATGCTTCAAAGGAAATAGCTTTCTCAAAAAAACCAGTTTCTTTCCAGGAATACAATGTGCAAACGTGTGAACGTATGCTGCTTTGCGAGGATCACTCCACTTGTAACTTGCGTGACACTCTACAAATGTTTCTAGACGCGGTTGAAGAAATGGAGAAGGAAACATTGTTTCCGTGCCTTTTGAAATCCTTCAGAACACTTGATTACGGTTGTAGCATGAACTCTGAACAGAATTTAAACGATTTGTTTGTAAGGTTACTTCAGGTAAGAAGCGTGTTGCTGGCGGCTTCTTATTGTGAGAATTTTGATGAATCCGCTTTCTGTCAAATTGTGACCAAGCTGAAAAACGTTTTTAACTTCTATGCCATTATGGTGGAGGAAATTATTGTCATGTATCGGCGGAAAGTCCACGAAGATTATTGAAAAGGGTAATAAGGGACGCAACATTGCTTTCTTTAGATGTGCGCTGCTCCTCCATAATATCATATTTTAGACAAAACTACCTTTTACATAATCATATATGTAATTAATGGAGAAAATGGAGAAGTAAATAAATGATAAATAACAGAAGGGTATATATTATGTAAAGAAAGGAAAACAGTCATACCAGAAAAAGATAAGTTCATGAGCCTACCTCCGAGGGACACTCACTTAATTGTTTTTCGGGGTCTTGCTCATCGAACAAGTGCACAAGTTTAGTGACTAGAAGGCTTTGGTGTCCTTGTGGATTGGAAGCTTTTAACAACTTGTAAACTTGACGATGCACACTCAAAATGTGTGTTAGTGACAATGTGTAGTTTTGTAAATTTTGACTCATTATCTTTTATTTTTGGCTACCTGAGATCGATACGCTACAATTAATACAATTTTTTTAATTTTTAATCGGATCAGGGATTTTAGGTTTCAACGGCACATCCCACCCAAACTTTCCTCAAGTTCCCCAACCTTCTCCTTCGAGCTCACTCAGAAAACAGAAAACTTGAAAACATGCTATTGTTCAACTGACTTTCTCTTGATCACAACACTGTCGGATTCAATGGGATTAGACTATGTTTTTTCTCAGGTTCAGAGCGGGGTAACTATCAGTAGGACGCATTGATACCAGATATAATGCGCGGTATATGCACGGTTACTGCTTCAGTATCAAAGGGGATTTTCCAAAGCTTTTTTAGGTCTTAGGGTGTTTTAAAGTCCTTTCTATGAGTGGTTCTTCATCTCTCGCATCCTTTAGAATATCCATGAAATTATCAATAACTACTAATTGTACAAAAGACTACGGACTATTATATGGCTTCTCAACACATTATTTTTCTAAATATTATATCTATATTTTTGTACTTCTTGGGTGGGCTTTCCTCGCTATTAATCTGTTTTTTTTTTCTGTATCAATAGCCCTTTTACAGTTCCCGGCGCCATATTAGATTAGTAGCCGCGCAAACACGATAACGAGGCTGCCGGTGACCCGCGTATTACAAAAACAGTAAATACAGCTGAT